GAAAATGATAATATAAAATTATAAAAATGAAAACCTGTTGACAGCGATTGTCCATTTGCTGTCAATAAAACTGGTTAATGAAAGTAAAGTTGCAGGCCAGGCTAAAGCTGCTAAAAGAGAGCTTAATACAGTCAGCATTGCACCTTGTCTCATCAATTCCATTGCAAGACCTGGACCATATCAATTCCATTATCATATCAAAAAATTAAATTATAAGCTAACTATTTAGTTTTTATATTAATAATTATTTTCAAAGGTTGAATAATTAATTACTTGATGAAAGCCAGTCCTGAATTGCAGTGCTTACAGCAATCAAATGCTTAGATTCCCATTGCAATGCATACCTGAAGAAATAATGCTATTGAATTGAATAATAAAACCAAAAAGTTTGTAAAAAATTTGATCTTCATCGTACCTTTCCATGTTATCAAGTTGATCTTCCCAAGGCCTTATAAAATCTTGCTCCTCAAAGACAAATCCTGACACCAATATCTCAACTGCCAACCTCTGTTACTTAACACAAGGTTTATGACAGAATATTATTACAATATAGGGAACAAAAATCTAAGGGTTTATGTCATATAGTTTTTACCCATTTACCCTTTTGATCAAATAATGCATATTCGGATGCCACATAGGCATAGAAATTGGTTTTACTTGTCATAAAAGGTTACAATGACCAAATGAATACATATCATCAGGTTGAGTGGCAAACTCGAATCTTTTGAAAGAATGGTCAAAAGGGTAAATGGGTAAAATGACAATGGTCATATATGATATGACATAAACACAAAAACTAAAAAATGAACTCACGCCTTGGTTATGATTTTCCCCTATGGTTTTGAATTCAAATTCATCAATACTTCCTGTCCTTCTAGCCATTTTTGTCCCTGTAAGTCCAGCTCCAGCAGCTGTAACAATCACATTTACAGATTTACTTATTATTTCCAGAAAAAAAAATTGCAATTCTTAATGAATCTTTATTCTTTATTCACCTCCAAATGAAGCAGCCACTGCAACAGAACCTGCAACACTTCCTGCAGCTGTAGCAACAGCAGCAAAACCACCAGCTCCAATCACTGGTATAATTGCACCCAATGTTGGTGCTATAGCACTAAATCCTGCAGCAATTGCTGGAGCTGCTAAACCTGTTCAGAATGTAATTTTTCATTATACATATAACATGAATTTACTAAAAGATTTAGAAAAACTCTGGATATTATAACTATAACCATACCACCAGTAATCGCCATTAAAGCGCCACCAGTTAAAGCAGCAGCTCCAATAATACCTCCACGTCTCCACTTAGCCCACATGCTTTTTGGTGCTTGCTCCTCTTCCTTTGCTTCTTCTTGTTTCAATATAGCCATTGCAGATAAAGCCACTATAATCTCAATCGCTTCCTGAAATGACAAAAACGACCTCTTGAATGTGGAACAGAAGTCAAAAGAATGACTTTAGGAAAACAAAAAGTCAAAAACTAAACTAACCACTTTGATCCATTTGAGGTCAAACCATGTTGTTAACAACCGTAAAGCAGCACGATGTCTAGCATCATAACCTTTTTTCTGTCTCTTAGATGTGCTGTTATTATCTTCAGGTAAATCTGCCAGACAAGCTGAAAGAAGCTCATATAGGACTGTTACTTTTCTTCCATAACCAAGCATCTTCACCTCTTCAATAGGCTGTTCTACAGTGACACTGTTGGATGCAATAGCCACTTCTTTAGTCTCCTGTTCAATTTTAGGGGAATTGCAATCTTTTTCCTCTTCTTTTTTTATCTCATTTTCAAGTTCAGATTTTGAATCGCTACTGGCAAACTTCTCCTGCCAATCATGTGCATATGCACGTTGCTTCTCTTTTCTCCATTTATAATCCTCAGGAGTTATTTCTATACTTGCCACCATGGCATCGACTGCATTGGATAAAGCAAGTTCCTGGTCTGATACTTCTGAAGAAACATCACTACTTTCTTCCCCGAGTAATCTTAAGAACTGTAAATTATCAATAATGGCTGTCATAAGTAAGGGAAGTGTCTGGTTGTTATGGTGATTGTGTTTAAAGTATTTCGTGTGTTATAAAATTACATACAGCTCCGACATGGCGACTTGGAGAAGAACCAGCTGTTTCCTCTAGGCCATACCACGCTGATTTGTCGATATCTAGAAACCTGTTGTTGACAAAATTTGTTATTTGTAACAAAATCGCCATCACAAGAACTTATAGTACAACTGTTGTCTCTTAATTAGCAGATAAGATTTAGCAGTGGCTACGATTAGAATTGCAGTATGAATGATGTTTGATAAAATAAGTCGGACTAAAACCTGAAAATAGGGCGGAGCAGACCACATGACTCGTTGACCCATAGCTGAGGATCTTCGCTGACTGAATCGGTACTGCTTGCATTGCTACCACGTTCTTCGGTTAGTTCATCGGAGGAGGACCCTAACGGAAAGGTTTGATGAATCTGCGTTTGGTTTAGGGCCAACCCGAATAAAGCTCCGGCGGCATACCTCTGCGTCTGGGTTAACGTCGATGGCATTTTGACGCCGGAACTCGAACAGATTATCAAACTTGAGTGTGTATCGGCTGATTGAGTCGGAAGTTTGGTGCACTGATCAATTTGATTTTCTCTTTGTTTTCTGGATTTTCAACTCGTTGGCAAAGACTCGTGATCCACCGTTTTGATTGAATCAGAGAATGAGTGAGTTACATTAATAGTCCCTTGTTATTTCCTAATAGACAAAATTGCAAAAATGGTATTGGGTTTCTCAAAATTATGTAGTTTGGTCTAAAAAAATTTATTGGTACATTTGTGGTCCAATTTCGGATATTTTGTGTGATTTTGGTCTTTATAATTAGTATTTTTGTGTGATTTTGGTCTATACCCACCTAAAATAACTAATATGCCCTTAAAATTGTTTTTTTTCTATTTCTTTTAATTGAATTGTACCTTTGTTAACAAAAAAAACCATAAGTTATATATCACCCCACTTATCCTCTCTCTCTCACACACACACACACATACAAAGAACTCAACTTTTCAGATCAAACATTCACCCAAAAAAAATATCTATATTCATCAACAAACTTCTCAGATCACATGTAGCTCAGATCTGAGATCGATGCACCCCCTCCTTCTCTCACAATCGTAAGTACTCTCATTCTTGTTCTAGCTTCAATCGACAACAACCACGACCCTCCCTTCCTTCTTTTCTGTTCTTATTCGATTCTCGTCACACCTTCGATTCAGATCGTAGGAGCTTGGGATGGTGAGTCTGGTGGTGCTGATCAGATTTCTGTGGTAAATCAAGAAGAGCTTAAGGCTTGTATTTCATTTTGTTTTCTTTTTTATTAAACTCGATCACAACCCCTTCTTCTTTCTCTCTTCTGAATCAATCTCGTTTTTTTTATCTTTTTTGATGGCAGATGTGTGTTGGCGTGCGGGTATGGCGGGTTACGGTGGTCTGGTGGTGTGTGATGTGGGTGGCGTTAGAGGTGATGACCACGCTGATGAACAGGGGATAAGAAGATGAGGAGGGATGATTAGAAGGGGTGATGATAGGATGGCTGTAATGTAGTTCAAGGTTGGTGGTGTATGGTGGTGATAATACCGATTACGATCTAAAAGGAGATCACATCATATTTGGAACTTGAATGATTAATCGTTAATCAAGATGAAGAATGAATGAGACATACAAACAGGATAGAAAAAAGGGAAAATTGCGTAATTTAAACCTTGACTTATATCGTTCTTCAAAAATGGGAACAACTTTGACCCCAACTTCATGGGCTTCTACTTTGATTTCTGATTTGCAGGTAATAGGGGATGGCGATGGTAGTAACTATCAAGGGAGCGAGGAAGATGATAAAAATTTGGAGGGAGAGAGAGAGAGAGAGAGAGAGAGAGAGAGAGAGAGAGAGCATTTTTCTCAATTTTAATTAATGAAAAACATTTGAATAAATATAAAAAAAATAAAGAAAAACAAATATAAGGGTATAATAGTCTTTCTATGTTGATAGGGACCAAAAACGATAGAAAGATTCAATTTTGAACCAGTAGCGCACCAACATTTCGTTTTGAACCAAAAGCATATAAATTTGCCAGAAACCATTTTTGCAATTTTGTCTTCCTAATATGCATTTTTTGTCCTCCAACTTTGAAGATCATACTAACGTGTACCCACACTTGAATTAACTAGTTGGCATTTTGATATCAATTTCAATTTCAAAGTTCCAAGTTCATGACAGATCATCCTTAACTGCTAAAGTCACTTATCTTTTAATTTACTCAATATGCCAACTAATTTTTCTTTCGCTCTTATTACACTAATTTATTGGAGTTAATTTCAATCGGATAATTCTTGATTTCAAGGGGACAATTTTGTCATAATAGACATCATGTGATCATCAATAATCGAACATATGATATAATATCTTTGGCCGCAGAAACCCCCATCCAATTTGTGTCATGACAATCAAAAACATTATTTATTGATCTATTAACTAACTTCCAAAAAGCAAATGGCTCTAAAAAATTAGTCGATCTGTTTTAAGTCAAGGATTTAGAACTTAGAATGTCGGCTAAAACACTTGAAAGCAACTTTCAATCCTATTGGCTGGTTTCATTTTTCTATTTATATTATTTATTATGTAGGAGATAACAATATAATCCCAATTCTAAGTAAATTGATCAAACTTCGTCACATATCACCATTTCAAAGAGAGACCACAAAAAAGCTTCCACCCAAACCTGTACATAGTTTGAGTGATATTATCGAATGCAAAAGCATCATTGAGATCAATCAAAGATATCAATGGCTCAATTTTGTTGTACAACAAGTGACTAACTTGAGTAAATTGAATCATAGGCAAGAGTCACAACTCCCAAAATATAGACAGCAGACACCATAATTCTCACTACTACATTATATATTGATTATACAAAAAAACACATGTCACCATTTCAATCAAACCACCTCCTCCCAAAATCCAAAATATTACCTCTCTTGTTGGTGTAGATAGCTGCATGAAGATCCCTTCTTGCACCTCCCACTCTCATAAAATTTACATATACGTTGCCCTTTCGATGGCGGCGCCCTCGAATAACCACCAGCGCCACCGCCACCGCTGCCGCCACTACTGAATGAAGACTGCCTACCCCATGAAGCTCTACTACTGGTAGAGCTTCTACCATGTCCTGAATCCTCACCATGATGTGTCCTCTCTCTTGGACTGATACTTTTACTGATACTGTTACTGTTGCTATATCTGTCCCCCCCACTAGACCTCCTGTGGTGAGAGGAGGACTCCCGCCCTACATTCACACTCCGGCTATGGGAGGATCTACTTCCGCTGGTGGCTACCTGAGATGCTCTTCCTGTATACTTTTCTGACCCCATTCTTCGTGCTTCCACAACGTCAAATCCCATCGTTAGCGGCAGCGGCAGCGGAAGCAGCGGCGGTTGTGATTGTGGCGGTGGCAGCGGTGGTGGTGGTGCATCCGGCTGGATAAACTCACCTTCTTCCTCCTCCACATCCGGAAACGCACTAAATTTCCTTGCTGCCACCGCTTTTATCCGTTCACCCGGCCAACCTGATACAACACTTTTCGACTTCCGTCCTCCACGTGATTCCGGCGGTGGAGGAGGCGGAGACAGTGGTGGTGGCGGTGGCGGTGGCGGTGGTGGCAGTGGAAGTATACCGTTTCTTGACTTTTCTTCAACTAGATCGTCTCTTTCTCCCTCGTCAGTTTCAGCCCTAGTAGAATCGTTTAAATCAATCATGTCTTGGCGAGGCGGTGGTGGTGGCGGTGGCGGTGGGAGCTCAGAACCGCCCATCTCAGCCCATTTAAACCCCATATGATCGGAATTTGTGGTCGGAATAGCAACCGCTCCAGTGGGTTTAGTCTCAAGGCCAAATGAGAAGTGATGTGATTGACGATGTAAATGCATATCTGTATCCTGATCAGTCGGGCTGAAATCATCCATGGAACCATTAAACAAATCTTCAAGAAAACTATTCCTTCTAGAAGTCGGAGACGGGACTCCATTCCGGGATTCCATTGCATCAACTTCCGCCAAAAGATCGGAAACGGATTCCTCTGCCAATGTGGCAAACTCAATGGTTTCACCAACACCAAGTCCATGCCATGCTGGCAAACCATGATACGGTTGTGATGATTGGGGAGGCGATGAATGATGATGCATAATTTGATCCATATTTGTACTACCAACCTGATGATCCAATACTTCTAGAGGTTTTAAAGGAGAAACCGATACCCGGGCCGACCCCCATTCCTCAGGCTTAGGAGGATAGCGACCCCATTCATCACCTGTTTCAGGTAATTGGGCCCCACCAATCACTAAACTTAAAGCAGTACTCCACGTAGGCGGGTTCGGGGTCGGGTTTGGGTTTGGGTTTCCGGAAGGTTGTGCAGACTGTTGTTTGTCTTTTTCATTTTCATGACTTTCCTTCTTCAACAGTTGACTTTGCAAATCCACAAGGGCTTCATCTGCAACAGGAAAAACTTGAGAAACATGCTGATTGATATCAGTATCGGTCCCCTTTGGGCTTGGGCTTGGGCTTGGGCTTGGACTTGGACTTGGACTCGAAATGGACATATTTGGGGGGTTACAGTTCAAATTGTAATTATTATCTTCGGAATCGGGTAACTTTTCAAGATTGACGGAGTCCATAGCATATGAAGTTTCGGGAACATTGACTTCCTCAATTTGATTATTGACTTTTTCATTTCCGGGCCATGGGTCATTGTAGGGATTATTAAACTGTTGTTGCAATACATCATTTAGAAGTACAGAATTGGCCTCTTGACCCGCCCATACCCTCATATCATTGGGAAAGTATCCACGGATACTCCATTGATGCAACTGTAACATAGAAAACGGGCCTTGGACGTTTCCACTCGGGTCCCGGTAGTGCCACATGTCATCATTGGGAGATGGGATTTCCAACATGGACAGAAATGAAGAAGGTGTTGATTCCGGTTCAATAGTGGGTAGCGATGAGCTCACACGAGTTTCAATCTTGGATTCCGATACAATGGTGGGTACTGATGACCTCACAGGAGTTTCAATCTTCGATTCCGGTACTACAAAGGTAGGTAGTGATGATGAGCTCACAGGAATTTCAATCTTGGATTCTGGTACTACAATCGTGGATAGTGATGATGACCTCACAGGAGTTTCAATTTTGGATTCCGGTGCAATGGTGGGTAATGATGACCTCACATGAGTTTCAATCTTGGATTCCGGTACAACAATGGTGGGTACCGATGAGTTCACAGAAGTTTCAATGTTGGATTCCGGTACTACAATTGTGGGTACCGATGACCTCACAGGAGTTTCAATCTTGAATTCCGGTACTACAATGGTGGGTAGCGACGAGCTCACAGGAGGTTCGGGATTGGATTCCGGGATCATTGAACCGTTACAATTGACCTCTTTTGGTGATTCCACCGGGGGATTTGATTCCATCATGTCTTTTTCCATTTCCGATGTCCCTGTAGGCTTGATGGAATCCTCCTCAACGTTGGGGGTTCCCATGTCTTTGGGTTGATTTTGATCGTTTGAACTTTCAGCTCTCTTTTGAGGAGAGATTGTGTTTGTGCCACTGACCCAAGAAAACTTGGGCTTCTGATGTTCTCCTGGAGATTTTGATGACATTGTTAGTCAAAGTAGGGAGGAAATGAATATGTGAAACTGTAGAAAGGTGTTGAATAACAAACCGTGTTCGTTGTTGAAGTACTCTTCGGTGTCATCGGATTCATAATCAGGATTCATTTTTGGATCGGAATGAACCTCCGGGACTTCACGTAATCTGCGTTCACGCTCCTCAGGTGTCTTTAGAAGTTGGAGTTTCTGTACACATTCTCTAAGAGTGGAATTTGTCAAGGAATTCCAACACTTTTGGGCATTCCAATGGAATTGGAATTTTTCGAGATTCCGTTCCATCGGAATCCTTCAAATTCCACGTTTGATGGATTTTATCATTCCTATAATTCAATTCCATTCTTCCTCTTTTTTTATTAACATACCAAAAATACCTTTAGTAAATATTTAAATAAACAAAAATAAAATTCAATAGACCAAAGGATATCCCTTTTTCTGCCTTTTTTCACTTGCTCGATCGCGAAGATGATTAAGCCGCAACATCTCAGCTTCCATTCTCTAAATTATACAAAAGAAGAAAACCAATTAATTAAAGCAACAAATAAAAATATGGTAACATGTACATTTCTAACATAAATACGCAATAAACAACCTATAAAATCACATTTTTATCTTGAAACCAAATAACTCACATCATCAACCAGAAGTGACTGAAGAGTCATTGCCTTTTCTTGTATCTCACCCTACCACAATCACAACCACAAAACTTGTCATCATCATATACAAAACACAGGGTACAAATTTTAAAATAAAAATTGCCATAAAAACTTACTACAGTAAAACATCTCACAAGCCCACATCTTATACTCTCTCGCAGCCGTCTGCATTCATCCTAAAAAATATCCGCTAATTATCAAAGAAAAATAAAACAATAAACTAGTTATTAATTATTATGAAGTGCTAATCAGTCACTCACCTCAGATAATTCTTGATTTGAAATTGTATCAATTGGCACAGTCTCCTTCTTGTCTAAATTTGATACTTCAAGCATAACATCAACTAATTTATCACCAACTTTATAGGGTACATCCGCCTTAGTCGTACCTAATAAACACAAAATTGTAAATTTTAGGTGATAGAAGATGATGATAATAATAATAATAATAATAATGATAATTCCCACAAATGGTGATCTTTTCATTACCTACAACTTGCACAAGCCTGTACATATCATCCTTCTGATCACTACCCGATATCCTAATTTGCACAATCGATCCAACAACCTTTTCATGAAACTTTTCACTATCTTGAAAGATTTTCTCCATCAAATTACGCCTCAAGTATATCAGATTCATATTATGCACATCAATCGAAGCATATTCATCCAATTTATTCTGTGTTACACGTTGTTGTTCAGCCTTCCTGTGACTTCTACGTTCCTTGTTACTCACCATCACCATATTATCAGGCTTGCAATCTGCATCCACTTGTTTTACAGATACAGTATTATTCTCGATTCTATTCTTCTGTGAACTATCATCCTCTTTTATAAAAAAATGTAATTCCAGAAGCTTTAACATTTCAATATGACCAACACGTGGTTTACCAAACAGATTCTTTAACCTTGTATCACATATGATTTGGGTTTTCTTTCGTGGGTCCCGCAGATTATTCCTTTTTATGTAATCTAGCAAAAGTGCCTGGACATCAAACTGAGATAACATGGACACATCACCATTTTTCATGTGTGAAACAAAATCTAGTAACTCTTTGCTTGCCCACTCTTTGGATTCAACTACAGATGGAGTTTCTTTTGGGGGTTCATTAGTTTGCTCAAATGTTTTGCTACTTTTGGAAATATTATTAGCCTCGTGATTTCCAAAAGATGTATCTAATGTAATGCTTCTTCTACCACTGGCACTGATATGTGAAGTTGATTCGATTGAAGGGGTTGTTTCGGATCTTTCCCATGGACTTTGAGCTGCTATAATCTCACTAAAAGTTAGAGATAGCTTTCCTTTTAAGTAGTTCCAGTATACCTTGAAAAGATACTCCCAACTAGTCTTGTCATCAAAATCCACCTGGAAAACTTGCAGATGAAAACATATTAGCAAAAATCTTGATTTTTCAGTGTAAAATCAAGAATCTTGAAAAAGTATGATTTTGCATACCTTTACTTCCTTCCCTTGTGCGCTGTTTTCAATGAGTGTGATTGTTTTCATGCATATTGAACAAAAGCCTTTATCACCTCTCACACACATAAAGTCAGCCTTTTTACTGCACCCTTTGCACAATGAATAAGTACACGTGTAGCACATATGATATGATGTCTTCTCACATACGCTACAGATATGCCAACCTAAAAGTCATATAAACACAAAGATATTAATGGATCATGAAACCTAGTAACCTACTCAATCAGTGTTCGTAATTAACATCCGGATATGTAAAGTCTCAAAGGTCAAGGTTACAATTTCCATGTTTGGCTTAATGAATAAGGCAAGACCCCTCCCAAAAAGAATAAAGATTGAATGATTAATTTATATCTACCCCTTGATACCTAATTCATATCTACCTTGCCCAACATGTAATTTTAATTCATGGAACAGCATCATTTGCATTAAAATCAGGAGCTCTGTGTCATTTGTTGTTGTTGTGGACATACAGTAGAACATTGTTGGACAGGATACCGAACCCGGATATAACATGGGGTTAAACATGAAGGAATTGGCACTTTCCAAAGGCATGATCTTCAATAGGAGGTTGTGGAGGTTTAAAATCATGGTGGTGGAGTAGTATATGTCATAGTTACTTTCATATAGGGTTATGCCTTTCATAGAATATTTACCATTAGGCCCTTACCTCATTCACATTGGATTTTAGGTATTGTTGTTGCTGTATAGAATTTTTGCATCTCATGATGTCAACCAGATAATGGTAGTCTCAAAAAAGAGATGCCAATTCAGGTTTGCTAGACCAATACCACATTGAAGAGTGAACCACAAAGTACGGGAAAAAAACAAAAAAACTAATCAAATGCACAAGGTCTAATTCTGAATGATGAAGTATAACAATATTGATGGAGAAAAATGTTACAATAGATACGACATGTTTAGGCAAAGTCTTCGGCCTCAAGAAGTAGGCATGTGTCATGTGAGAATGGAAATTGAATTTAGGTCAGACTTGATCAACTTTAATTAGTATGCCTTCTCCACAGCTCAATAGTGATAACTACTGTTAATTCCATAAGTTAGTTCATTCAATCATTCCTTTTGAGGACAATATAGTATATGTTAAGAAATTTACAAGAGGGGACTAAAATACATGGAAGGAAGGAGTGATCCTGGTTAAAAGCATAAGTGGTAATGTAGTGTTACAACTACCCTAGGATGAAGGGTGTTAGCAATAGCATAACCTTAAAGCTACAAGACGTGATGTACCATTGAGCGGGGGCAACTTGTGATAATGAAGGAAATGCAAAGAATTACAGAGAGAATAGTGTAACAAACATGAACAGCAAACATACCGCAATTCCATTTAGCTTTGGTTTGAAAAAATGCTTCATCGCGCTTGATACAGGCCGGATGGTATGCCTTTGGACAGCCCCTGCACCCAACAGATAAAGCATAACTAATCTTCATCTTATCATCGATTGACAAAAGTTAATTCTTTGAATGAAAGTAATAATCGCATCATCTCATGCAGTTCAACAAATGCAGACATTTATCAAATCCCCAAAGAACACGAACATAACAGCTGTATGGATGAAACAAAAGATATGAGCACAAACCGGCGATCGCACAGCACGAGACTCCCACCATCGAAGCAAATAAAACAAACGTCCTCATCCTCATCCTCTTCTTTAATCTTCTTAGCAGACGGCTGGTTCGCCTGAGCCCTAGGCGGCCGCCCTCGCTTCCTCTTCACCACTTGAGCTCCTCCAACGGCATTACCTACCTCAACCTTCACTCCTCCACCGCCACCATCTGCAACGACACCCACCTGTCCTCCATCAGTTTTCTGAATCGGTTGACTCCGGTCAAGGCTTTGACTCTCAGCTCCCGAATTTTGAACTTCCATCATGGAAAATTGAATGACCTAAAGCTAAAAATCAGTTCATCGGTTGACCATTAGCAGAGATAATGAAAACCCTAGAGCTTGAAATCGCGTAGTGGTGGTGTCGTAGGAGGTCTGGTTGCGTAGATGCATAGAAATGGATTGGGGGAAGTACGTGATTAGTGGGTCGTTTTCCAAGGGCGAAGTTGGGAGATTTACGAAACCCCAAAAAGAGAGTGCTTGGGAGTAATTGTGACTTGTGAGAGTGTAGATGTTGGGCAGGGTGGGTTTTACCAATCGGAGACACGACTTTATCTGACTAGAGACTAAAGAGAGAACGTCGATCGGAGCTCCGGGGATTCTTTCCGATACTCGGCAACACGTGGACAGATTTTTTTTTCTTTTAAAAAAGGAATTATGATTACACAGATTCTAAAACACCCAATCCGGTTCCATTATACCGTATAAAAAAAAGAGTTACTCACTAAAATACAAATAATATTAATATCAATAAATATGTAATATAAGAAAATAAATAAATAACCATGTTAGATGTGAATCCGCGGGTTGGTTTTTTTTTTTTTCTGACCGAAAATTAATTTCGTGAAACAATTTTGGTCAAACAGGTCAAATGAAATGTTGTCCCTAACATATTTTCGCGAACGTTTTTCTTTGAACAATGAAAATACATCAACATCAAGTAAGTCCACAAGCATATAACATTGCTTTTATCCAAGAAGAAAATGTTGTTTTATTTGAAATATCCATATGACATCGTGTACCTTCACGAATGTATACAAATTTCGCAAAATTTATTTGCAAGTTTATTTGGTTTACTTGGTGTTAGTGTTTATCTTTGCTCAGGTGACACACAATTTCACTTCCAATACTGCTCGGAGAGTCAAAGATCATCTATTAAATAAACATTCTAGGGTTGTTAATGTGAACCAACCATAAGTGGTCCATAAGTATCCTCAACCTATTTGACTCGTTTTAACTCTTAAATCATATAGAATTGTAGGGAGAATGAACATTGGGATAGAAGAATAAACGTACTATCCGTTTAGGTTTTTATTTATTTATTTATTTATGTTATTATTATTATTGTTAATAGAAGAATATGTTTGTTTTCTGATTTATCTTTATATTTTTCTGTATGATTATAATTCTCCCCCCCCCCCCCTCTCTTCTTTTCTTTTTCCCCTTTTGTTTGCCTTATTTACCGCTCTCGCAATCATTTGTTGTTGTTATGACCATGTTTTATTTTTACTACCCACTTCACTTAA